TAATTGCGATAGTCTTAACAATGTAAGAGTGTGCATTTTGCCAAAACATGAAAAATATCTGAAAAGAATTAATTGTATTTTAAATAGTTAATATAAAATGAATTATACTCAAGTAGTATTAATAAATATTATACCATAGTAAATAATCAGAAGGAAGTAGTAATAATATATCATATTTTTAGGGTTTCTAAAAATTTGATTTTCATTATCCAAATATAAAGTGATTTTTTTAACATTCAACTAATTTTATTATATCTTTCATACTATAAGCCATTTGCATAACCTATATACATATATATTTCGATTACACTTCAAATAATAAAGAATAATTTTTGGTATAAAATAATAATGAAAAAAAACGAAATAGAATTATAAAATTAAAAATATTTATGCCTTTACGAATATTATTAAAAGTTTTAAATTGAATTAAAAATTAAAAGTGGATTGGTAAAATTAATTTACACTCTATAAAATATTTTAATTTAACGACAAATGTTATTTTGTAAATAAGTTAATATATTACATAATAAATACGATTAATATATTATATAATAAATACGGTTAATATATCATACAATAAATACAGTTAATATATTATATAATAAATCTAAAATACAAGTAATTAACATATTTTCTAACACTTCATTTCTGTTTTATGTAAAGTATAGGAGTGAATAATAGTGTTAATTAGTTTGTATTATCTAATTAAAGAATGATTATTATAAAAAAAAAATATACCGAACGATTAAACAACTTATGATAATGCATTAGTCGACTGCTTCTTATATTTGCTATACGTGTACCAATAGATGTAATATAATATAAAGTAATTATAAATCCATATATGTTTACATGTATATATATGTAATACTCTGATATATCCCCTTTATTTATTGTTTTTATGTTTCATGTGTACGCGAGATTCAGAAGATTTCTAATGCGGAAATATTCTTCATAGTAATTAGAAAATATTGTTTACGTGGCATTGAAACGAATGTTTTTAATGCCATGGTACAGTATTCACTTAATATAGTTGCTTATTTCTTTTATTTTATAGGTATCTTATTTTTAGAATATTTTCTTCGAATTCACTTAATAGCATATATTTTATAATCAATAATATATTAAGCTTCAACCAATGAAAACAAGAAATGCGTTCAAATTAGCAAGAAATGATTTTGATTTTGTATCTTAATATCATTACTATTTGTAATTCATAATATCTCTTTTACATTTACATAAAAAAATCATATCTTTAGTAGATTATTATTTAAACAAAAGTAGTAAAATTAATGTTATACTTCGAATGTGAAAATTGACTATATAATCTTTTTAAAAATTTGATGTTTATGTATTTTATATTTTTTATATATCATATAGTTGTGTTAGATTTCTAATATTGAAAATTAATTACATTTACTATTATATAGTATTATAGACTATTATATAGAACGCGGAGTTATAACAAAAATTCTAAGTGTAATTGATTATATGGCTAAATGTGAATTGTAAATATCGAAATTTTGATTCGTGGTTAATATAAAATAATACGCATACGGCCTTTTCTAGTTTTTATTTTATTTGCATGTATGCATTTTTGTACCTGCTTAAAATGGAAGCTATGATCTTGTACACACTTTTCATTGACTTATTATATAAGAACGTGATATCATGATTTTGGCTCGAATTCCTCAACAGTTGTTTTAAGTTATTGATCGTGTAACTGTTTTCAATTAAAAATATGGTGCGACGCTGCCAGTTCATTTGAATTTTCATTCCAACTTCCAAGTCTACATAAGTGCCGAAACTAAGATATGACATTAATTACAGTTAGTGTAAGATTAATTTGCTAATATTGTATACTTGGAAAAAAAATTACTTAATACAGAGAATTTATATAAAAACATGAATAATTTATATAAACTAAACATAATTTTTTTTTTAATTTCTAAAGAAATTCATGTTTTTATCTAAAGAACAACAATATGAAATACTAGCATTTATCTCACCAATGTTTTTTAAAATTTACATTTTTGTTAAAGTTTTGTCAAAAAGGTTTTACAACATTGTATATTTTGCAAATAATTTTGTAAATATTTGTTTTGAAAATTTTATTTTGTTGATTATTCATTTTGATATTATTTATAGCTTTGAAATTATACTTGTTGAATATATAATATTGTCGGAATTAAGTTTCTTACATCAGACGTTAAAACAATATTTTTAAATTGTTTTTATTTTTATGAAATTTTTACTTAATAAAATAATTTGTTTGCATATATATTAATTTATTATTATTCAACATCATATATGTAAGAGAAAATATTTAAATGAACAATATTTCTTATTGAATACAGTTGATTAACTATATTTTTAATAAATTAATCTAAATATAAAGTTTTTAAAGTCAATCTTTATAATTTTTGATACTGAATTTGTAAAGAATAGTTCACAAAATATTACAAAACTTATTGAAATAGAATCTATAATATAATATAATATTAAATCAACTTTTAATAAAGAATTTTATATTAATTTTTATATAAACATTTTTTAAATAAATAATTAATGAAATACATTTATGCGTGTCTTTGTTGTGAATTTTAACACGAAAATGAAAGGATATGTTTTTTATAAAATTAATTCTTTCTCGTGTATAATATCTTAGTAATGCATAGCTAATTATAAATTTTTAATATTTCGAAACAATAATTATTAATAAATATCAATTATTATATTAGTTGCATTTCATATTGAAATTGTAAAAGATACATATCAAAAATAAACTTTAAATAATTTATAAAATTAAACAATACGTCGTTCTTAAAACTAAAAATTTATATATATATGTTTCTATCTGTATTAAATATTAAAAGCATTCCATAAATTAGTCATCTTATTAGAAATTAGTTCTAAATCAGTACTATAAAAAAAAATAAGTAACTCGAAAATTTTTACAAAACTTGCGTTTATGAAAATGGTCATGTTTAAATTATTATTGATAATTACATTGATTGAATTTACTCATTTGAAGAAAAACATAGGAAGAATAATGTCCGATTGTTAATTGAATTAGCCTCTATAGCTCAACGATAATACCATTATCATTGGAATCGGTAAAATATAATCTTGGAATACTGGAAAACAGGTCTAAGGCGATATGCTGAAAAGGAAATCCCGAGCAACGGTATAGAAAAATTACAATCTCTGTATGTATAAAGAAAAGAATAACGGAGTTAAGCTCACTTGTATACAGATAAACATGCAGACTTTCAGCGGCCTTGCCTTCGGAAATGTCTTTAAAAAGAAGGCATGTCTGGTGACAATTTTCCATCTGCCTTTATATTTATTTCTAGCTTATATGCATTTTTCCTGTTAGGTGATTCTATTCAAGCTATTTCGTCATGGTCAGTACTAAGGACTCTCACGTTCTAATCCTCATTAAACAAATTTTCTTGAAACTTTCTATAATGACCTGTAAATACAAAAAAAGATTTTAAATTAAAATTTATGTTTAATATTAAACTAATCTCAATTTAAAACGTGGAATTGATCTAAATTTGAAGCAAGAATATTAGTAAAATCAATAATTATTAATAAAATACATATTACATCGCTATAAAATTGAATGATATCCATAATAGTAAAATAGTTTTGTGATTTTGTATAAAATATATTTTTCCATAATAATAGTATATGAAAAATAGTCACATTTACTGTAAATTCTATAAATATCTGTTTAACTTTTCGACAGTTAAAGTTCAATATATAATGTATGTATTATTATATTTAATTACAATTACTTATTTTTATTAAGTTGCTAAATAAATGAAATTTTATTTTTATATATCATTCATAAATCAATGTCTATTTATTAATATATCAAGTAAACACGTATTTTGTTAAAGCAAAAATAACTTTTTTACAGAGTTATAATATTATTTTGAAAAATTCAATTTTTAACGATGTAAGAGAATTGTTATTCGTTTTCTATTACTTGTACAATTTAAATAATAAGTTATATTTTCAATGCCTCGACCGTAGCAATTTTTTTATGATAAAATTTTCAATTAATTTTTGTGTTGCCCTTTATATACAAAGAATTGTATGAAATATGTACTTGGAATTTTATTTATCGTGTGCTAAATAAAATATATACCAATAATTATTCCATTAGAATATAAAATACAAATTTTTTTTCATGCGATGTGTGATGAAACCTAGAGATTAACAGGTTTCTTAAAAATTTCTTTAATAGCTCTTACTTTAGTTACATATTTATTTTTGCTTTATGAGCATTCCTTTTCATATACACAACGGATAACTTTATGATGATCTTTATTTTAAAAAGATAAATTAGTTCTTCGTATAATAGTTTTTGTTTACATTGTTGAGCAATAGATAACTACCGCATACTATTGTGTAATCTTTTTTTGTAATAATTCTTGATAAATATTTAATTTTATTAATATAACTCATTTAATAAACAAATTAATATAAATAATTTCATGTAAATAATAAAAGTTGAAAAACCTTTATTCGTTTGATAATAAATTATTTTAATAAGTTAATTTTGTAGAATTAGATTAAAAATTTCATAAATACTATTGTAATTGTAATCTTAATAGATTCCAACAATTTTATAAGGTACAGACATTTTTATTTCTATGTTTCATTATTACTAATAGGTATAATTTTAAATTTTTATATAAAATGTACGTTATAAATTTATATTATTTGTTAAATTTGGTTTTCTCTATTGTATATTTTTATCTTTTCTTGAGATTAATAAATAATGTATCAAAAAGTTTAATAAATTAATAATCAAAATAAAGTATTCGTAGTCTAACTTCGCTATATCTTTACTGATATTGATTGTAGCACACATGTATCTCCACACAAGTATAACTTTGGTTTACATCAAAAGATTTTATTAACTGTATGTACTGCATATAAAAAGTTCATAAATGACGTCAAATTACTTGTTCATTTGTATTCAGGTCAACAAGGTAACGAGCGGATCCCCCAATGCTAATGTACCGCCGCCGCCAACGTTAATTAATAAAATCAAGTATCAACCAGGTGTTTCGGTGATTAAGAAGGACAAACGTCAGAGCAGCTCTAGATTCAACATATCAAAAAATCGTGAGCTTCAGAAATTGCCAAATCTCTGCGGTAAGTAGTATTTATAAAATAGAAATTTTTTTACACTAATAGTTAAAATAATATTATAATTTTTTCAATTAATATTCAGTAGAAATATCTCCATATATGTTCGATCAGTTTCTCAATATATTTAATATGCATTTCATTAAATACATATTAATTTTTATAGTTTATAAAACTTTATAACATAGTAAAATTATTAATAATGTCATTCATTCTATTTCAGATATTTATATTTTATTGTTATTATATAAAAATTTTATTATTTACATTTTTTGTTTTAAATAATAATTGAACATTATATAAATTATACTTTATAAATAAAATATTTATTTATAATTTCTTCTAATTTTGAAATTATAAGTCAAGTAGTGTAAAATTAAATTATATTTATTATTATTAACCATATTCAAACATATAAATAATTTGTTTTTTATATTTTAAACAGTAATTTAGAAAAAGAATATTTTTCATTACGTATGTTAATATACTAAAAATTAATAAACTATGAAACTATTGAAAAGCTATTAATTTAATATACTTCTAAAATTAATCTACTGTTACTAAGTTACATATGATCAATAATTAAACTAAGTTTAATAATAAACAAATAAGGTCAATTGACCAAAGATATTTTTTATTAGCCCGAAATACAAAAACGTTTTTTTACAAAGTTATTTAAAATTCATCAATGTTACTTGCACCCTTTTTTTCTTCATTATTTAAAAAAAAATTCACTAATTTTTAATTATTTATCTATTTTTACTTTTTTAAATTTTAATAATTTTCAAAAATAATAAAATAGGTAAGAATATTTGGCATTAAAGATTTTTAAGGTACAAACATTTGGTTAATCTAAGTTTATATATTATTGTATTTTAACAATTTTTTCATCTAATACTTTATTACAATAACTATATCTGTAAGGATATATATTAGATTAATTAAATGTAGGTTAGGAATAATGTATTAAAAGTATATCTAAGAATAATATATTAAAAGTATATAATTTATTATATTTAGGATCTAAACATAGTATTTTTGATTACTATATTATTTAATGTTAAAATGAATAATGCATACCTCACGTAGTACACTATTTAATTATAAAAAATTAATTTTCCAATGTTAATAAGAAAGTGAAAAACAATCGAAAAAAATATTTAAAGATAAATAAAAAGTGTTATTCAGTTTAAATACAGTAAATCAAGGGTTTAGAAACTCCATTTTTTACCATCAACTCAACTGTATTTCGTACTTATAAGTGCCATAATCGACATATTTCTCGATTTGACATTACTATGAAGATAGCTTCGAACTAGTTCTTAACGAATACGAAAATTGATCGCTTTTATTTTTCTTTTTGTAATCCATGACAAATGATCAGTGTATATTACTAGAACATATTTACTTTAAGAAATTATTGTTTAAAATCAAATGAAATTTTTCATAACTATAAATATAATTTTAATAGATTAAGATATATACATTCTAGGTTGAAATATTTTTATTGTAAATGAAATATTGGAATTGTATTGTAATCGATTTAAAATTCGCCTTTTGTAATATTACTACATATTTCATATGCAACATATTTCAAAATTAAGTTTAATTACAAATTTAATCACACCTAATAATTTCTAATATGATTATATTTAAATGTAATATAAATATTATCTTATCAATCTGCAATATAATTTTCTATACTTAACCAGTTTACTTGATAAGTAATATAACTTACATATTTTAGTTTTACAAGTATACGTATTTAATAAACTGTTTAAAAAATATATATTGAAAAATGATAATATGTACTTCTAAAGCTAAAAAATTAAAAGATAATAATTATATTGAAATATTGGAAAAATTTAATCCATTGTTATTTATTATATATGTGTTGTTAATGTTAATACGATATGTTAATTAGATATTAATTTATTTTTAGGAATAATAATAATTTTCAAAATTAGGTTTTTATATGTTATTTTATACATCTTCTGCGGAAGTATATTCAAATTTTACCAAAATATTTAAATATATAAGTCTTACTTTCGAATTGAAAAATTATCTTGTTATAATGAATGTTATACCATTTATATATATATATATATTCTATGAATAGTCTAAAGTGTTTCCACTATAAAATTTAAATTCTACATACATTAATCAAAATATTATTTCATAATTGATCTTATCTTTACTTAAAAAATGTTTGTTTCTCAATTTACGAAGAAATTATGATATTAAGATAAATAAATGTTTGGGAAACTTAATTTTATAAAAATTTTAATATAACCGAAAAACGAATGAAAAATCAGATTATTGTTTTGTATTTGAGAAATATTTTGTTTTGTATATATATAAAATATCTTAAATAATATAAAAGAAATTTTTTAATAGTATATGAAAAAAAGAGGTGTCGAAACTTGATTGTTGTTCATACGTATTTGCACGCGAGGATGCACAAGCTTAAAGAAACAAATAACAATAATCGTTCGAATTCGTTACTCAAAATTTGTGACAATTGCTTAATCTTACTAGGTCAATTCTAGCTAGTCAAAAGTAACTATACGCGTGTTTCCGCATTCACACACATTTTATACTCGAACGAGCCTAAATGCATTTAGTACTTGCAGTCTTATTTAGAAAAGTATTGAAATTTATTTATATTGACGTGCGTGTCGTATGTACGCTTTCACCAGCTACATTTTTATCCCTTTTTCTGCAGCAGCCATGGACTGCACACTGATGAATTGCTCTTTTGTCTTCTTCGTATGGTACTTGTATTGGAGCGCATTATTTGAAATATCTAATTGAAAGTTTTATTGTTATTCGCAGGTGAAATAAGTTAAACTCGTTCGAAAAGAAAGAAATTGAAAGTATACCTTGTCATCCACTATGTACGCTATTTTCACCATTTTCACATGAGTAAAAAATAGATAATATTGAGATGAAAAATTTCTCTATTTTTTTATGATAATCCATCAAACGGAGAAAACTATTGAATGATGTATACGTGTAAAGCTAAGTTTAGAGTGTAGAAAAAAAGAATTATTTTACTTTATATATTCTTTTATATATTTTAGAACGTATAAATTTATTGCCGTACAGAACTTTTTTTACGAATATGAATTACATATACCCTAAATGCTAAAACGTCTAATGATCATAAGCTTGTTACGATATGAAATGTATGTTAAGATACGTAAAGTATGAGATTGAATCTTGATATTTCCGTGATAAGTTTAATTCAAATAGTTAGGTACAGTAAATAGGGTTAAAAAAATTAATGAAACATTGCAAAGCAGATAAGTGTTAGAAATTTTTTTTCCACTGTACATCATCATAAATTTAATTATAATTAAGTTATTGATCGCATTATAATCAAGTTATTTTAATAGTTATTAACTGTAATATTATTATTACATTATTATTACACTAGTTGTAAATATTATTATTGCTTTCGTTTTATCTCTTTTCTAAGAAACAACTTTTTTATTAAAATTATATACATTTAGAAAATGAAAGTATACAATTAAATTAATTTTTTTTTCAAAAAATTTTGAATATTAATAAAATCAAAACAGTTAGTCAATTTAATATCGGTGATAAAATTATCTTTGTCCAATTAGTTACTAAAACATAATATCAATAATGGTCAGAGTTTTCATGCTGAAAAACAAATAGAAACTAATATCAGGTAATAGATATAATTAATGTACATCTAGTACAACGACTAACAATTTTTACCGCCGCCGAATGATACATTGGATATATGAATCATTGCGTAACTCCGTGTTTTTCTCCGAAACTGATAAATACGTGGACAATGTTTTTTCGCCAATACCTCAGATTTTGTCATTATAGATACAAAAAAAATAACGAGGAAGAAAGTAAAAGAATTAGTACTCTCTCTATAATATAATTAGTTTATATGGGCGTTATACTGGCTGCTTCAAAAAATTTTATTAGCAAATAAAATAGTATTTAATAAAATAGCATAAAAATGTTTTAAAACCAGAATTTTAGTTTTTCTACTTTGTTTGTATAATTTCATAAAGAATTTTTATTATTCGAATTATAATTCTAATTAGTAACAATATATGTGATATATATTAAACAATTTCAATTTGATTGAAATTTAACCTTTCATATTCTTGAGCTATCTCTAGCATTTATAAATACGGATAATAGCTTCATTCGAATGATTGAAAGTAAACCCACAACAGTATTATCTTGGTTGCTTAATCGTAAATTTTAATTATTATATTAATCAATAAGATGACATGAAATAAAAAACTAAACATAATTTATTGAATGTAAAATAAAATTTTAATTTTAATGAATATTTCATTTCAATAAAATTATATATGTATGTATTGCTTACACGATTAAATATTAACCATGCTAATAAATTTATTTGTGTTATATTTTACTGATAAGATGATTCTTGTTAAAATCTTTTATTGTTTCTAGAAGTACAGGAAAATGATCGTTAACAGTTGTTTCAAAATATACCTATACAAATGATTAGTATCAAAACGTAGCTAATGTAATAAGATGTTATTCAAATACGATTTCAACAGCATAATATGCTTCCACTCTCATATTGTTATTAAAAATATATACTTATCACATTATTGAAAGTAGAGCGATATTAAATTGCATCGAGGGAGTTTTAAAATATGTAGTTTATTATATAGCATTAATTATCGAATTACAGATTGTGACAATCCATTGCATGAAACTGATTTGCGAGTTTAAATTTAATCTTCCTATTGAAGTAAAAGTATTATCGCGTGTACAATTTTTAATACATATATTTATATACGCACGCATATATTTAGAAATACCACTATCACAAATGAAACCGATGTTCGACTTTTAAATTTCTTTTATATGAATCTGATCCATTGAGTCCAGCAAACGCCCTCACTACCAGAATGTCATTATTATTTAATAATAACATATTTTTTGCCCTTCGTAATGTATTTAAAAAAAAAATTAATAACTGTAATACAAATAATAATAATGATAAAGCTATAATAACAATAATATTAATATTTCAAAAGTATAGCCTTTATTTTATATATTCTATCCTCATTGTGGTTAATACGTTATCAAATAATGTATTTATACATCTATGAATACATTTCTAATTTCACATTTAAAAATCCCTACCTGCATTAGTATAAATGATACACAATAAGATATTTTTATTTGAATTTTGAAACATTAACATATATTTTATTTTTAATAATTTACATTATTTTTAAACAATAAAAAAACAATCACTATATAAACCAAAAGACAAGCCAAATTTTTAAATATATATAATATTTAAAAAAATTAATTTGTATTTGTGATAAATAAAAAATTATAAAATGTGATAGATAATTATTCGATAATTATTTACATAATATGGTTTGTATTATTGTTATTGTATTGTATAATTAATTATTATTTGTATAATGATTATCAAAATTTCTCCCTACTATTTAAAATATAAAATACTTTTCACTTAAAATTCAAGGCTAATAATAAAACAAATTATACCTTTATTATTCAATTTGTTTGTTTATTATTTGATATTATTTATGCCACTGTATACATTATTATAAGTATTATGTGCTTATAATTATTGTGATGTAATCTTATAATGGTTTGGCTTTCAAAATTAATATTTAATTTTTTACTATATATTTTTACTATATTTAGTATTAAAAGTTAAGATATACATTTCGTTATGTATATTATTGGTAAATTTTAAATGTGCACAGTGAATTTTACAATTACTTTAGAATTTTACATATTGAAATCTAAATGAAGCACTAATTAGAAACTTTAAAATAAAGCTTAAGCTATTATTTTACTTTTATTAAAAATATTTACTATCAAATTATGAATTTGGATTATATTATTCCAAGAATACTAAATTATGGATAATTTTCATTTGGAAATATAAAAAAATGATTTTATGAATTTTCAATTTTATTAAAACGTTAAATGTAATTCTCCTTTTTTAGTGTTGTAAGTTCAAGCATACTTGAGTAGAACAAACTTGAAGTAAATGTAATAAACTTTTACCCATAGACTCTTAAGAGAAGTTAAAAAATTCACATTTATCAATGTTTGATTCATTTGCTTAATTGAAAATCAATAAAATATCAAATTTAACACTTAACATACAATTCATGCTTGTCCTCTGGATACACTCCACTGAAATAAGCCTCCCCTTCCTTTTTCTCTTCCAACCCTTTTACCGTGAGATAAACAGACAAAAAGAAAGAGAGAGAGAGAGCTTTTACGTCCTACTGTCCTCATTGTCCCGGATCTGTTACGTCAGGGGCCTATCGATTGCCTGCTTGGTCGCTCAGGTTGCGCGCACGCGTAACCAACTATCTACCCTGAAACTCTTATGATAAACAGACATACAGAGAAGCCACTCCTGCTGCTTAGCTGCTGCCGTCGCCTTTATCGTGATCATTGTTTTCATCATTGTTTACCACCGCGTGTCCTCTTCCCCTCCCTCTTCTTTGCCACTGTTCCTCGTTCGTGCTCATCTACTGCTCATTATTGGCTCACGCATCAATTGTTAGAAAAAAGTCGAATTTACCTGCAGCGTATCGCTTCGTAGACGCTGGGTATTTTCTTCTGGACCAAAAATTAATAAAGAGAAACCATCGATCGACTATAACCGTGTGCTCCAGCTCTCACGCAAGCGCTCGGGGAATGAGCGAAAGGTTGTGTGTGATGTGTCTGTAGAGGAGGGCGCGGCAACCAGAGTAAACGCGGACGAGAACCAGAGCAAACGCGGACGAGGACACAATGGTCCACGTGACGGAGATAGGTCCGCCTCTGGCTGCCGGTATACCCAAAAGTCCGAGTTTCCACCAGGGCTTGGCGTTCGCCTCGGAAACACTGCCAGATAGCTACGGGCATCTTGACAAATTCCACGCGTCCGCAGCAGCGATACAGTATCAACCATTGCAGCCACTTCTTTCCGGTAAATGTCCATTGCATTATGGAATGCTTGGATCCCCAGATTTTTTCATTAAATTTATCACTGACCTTATTTGAAGGCGTATCGGATGCCTTTCAGATATCATTATCTAATCTGTGCTTTTCTTCCATTCTTCTTAAGTTGGGAACAAGTAACGAAGAATGTCTACTTAATTCAGGATGTGTAATAAGATATCCAAATGCAAATTTCTAAGACGTTAGTTTAATTTAATTTATACATATATAAATATATTATTTACTCAAGCGCTAATAAAGTTTTAATGTATATACTTCACACATATTTAAAAATGTAAAATGATTCTGTAAAACTTATAATTTAATGATATATTTTACATTAGTAGAAATTAATTTTATCCATTTTTAGAAACTTGATAAAGCACTAATAATTTACAGGTAAATCCCCCCTTTCATTGATATAATATTTAAATAAACCAATAATTGTCTTTATTAAACAAAATTTATTTAAAATTTTTAAATACATTTATGAAATAGAACTATATATATATATATTATTTGTAAAATATTAATTTCGCTAAAGAATACGTAAGGTACATACGTAATTCTACGTCTTCTTAATGAGATTGATAGTGTTTTTTTATTTATAATAGGTTACTACATTTATATTTGCTCGATAAAAAAATATAAATGAGGAGTAAATTGAAATTTCAAATTTTTTTAGTTTTATAATAATAAAGACATTTTTATTTGTTTACATTTTATATATACTACAATACAATAACATTGCTGTATTGTAAGACAAAGTTAACATTGCTTAAACGATCAATTTACGTAATGATATTATTAAAAGTATATGAAAATCAATTTTAAATCATGAATTCACAAGACTATATCTACCTTAAGAGTCATAGGTATCTAATATGTCTTCATTTCCATAAAAAGTGCAGTGCACAAAACAATGTTCTACTGATTTCCATAAATTTTTTATTGTCGTTCTTATAGATTTGCCATACAAACATCATCTTTAGCCACATCAAATTTAATTTGGATCAATAGAATGAAAATATTTTAATTTACAGTGCAAATTATAAAATTTATTATACAAGCATTTTATTTAAATTTTATCTAAATAAGAACATTAAATATGACTTTATTAACTAAAATTTGATAATTATATTCATTGATAATATAACTTATTTCCAAACAATATTTTGAACGTACACGTATATGGTTTTCATTTGTACGAATATAGAAGATATTGGAATGTTTACATTTATTTAAAAATACATGCACTCTGAATATTTAATACTTTTGCATATTTGTAGATGTCCAAGCTGCTGAACAGAGAGAACAGTTGTTTATACAAAAGCTTCGCCAATGTTGCGTCCTTTTTGACTTCGAGACCGATCCCCTTTCGGATCTACAGTGGAAAGAGGTAAAACGTGGGGCACTCCACGACATGGTGGAGTACGTAACGAATAACAGCGACGTTATCACTGAAGCCATATATCCAGAGGTTGTCAATATGGTACGTGTTTTGGATTGTTGTATATAAAGACGGATGGCTTTGGTAACGTAAAGTTAAAATTTTGTAAAGCAAAAGATGAACGCCCAATTGAAATATTGGTCATGATCGAATATTCAAGTTTAACTTTAATAATACAATTTTCTGACTTCTAATTTGAACTGGTTCGAGAATTTTTAAAAACATTCATGTTTTTTATAGTATACAAAATAGATTAGAAATTATTGCAATAATTTTGTTATAATTAACTTAAAAGTTATTTTTCTTAATTATAATATTATTGATAAAAAAAGTTATTAAATTTTTATATTCAAAATCATTTTTAAATATCTAATTTACGTACAATTTTTTCATACTCTTGCTTTAAGATTTCAATACGGTCTTAAAGTAAACCATAATTAAAAATATTTATATATTGTAATAAGTATTATACAAATTCTTAGTAATTAATAAATATAATTAAAGTGATTTTATATTTATAAATACATGTAAAGCAAAAGGATTCGATTAATTACATTGATAAATTACGTGATTTTAAAGTACTTTTTTTATTTTGTTATAAGTACATAAAAAATAATTCTACTTAATAAGGTAGAAAATAAGCAGTTTATAAATTAATTTTTCCGATGTACTCATTTTTGTATATGTACATAATTAAATATATAATTGTATTACCGTTTATAATGATTTAATTAACTAATTAAGTCAATATTAAATAAAAATATATAAATAGCATTCAATCAAATTAAATAAAAAATGAATTTCAGTTATCAAAAGATTAAAATGATTGAATATAAAATTGTAAATAAATACAGCATTCATAAATTAATATTTATCAGGTATCATAAATACATTTTTTAATTATATTTTATTATTTTTATTACATAAACGTATGCTTTAATTTATTATTAGAATAAATATTAATTGCATTACTTAATTATTTGAAAAAGAATAGATTTTAACGATCGATATTTCTAAAAATTTTTTTTTAATCTTACCTGTATATGTTAAAAAAATTTAATTATTTTTTGTAAATATATGTATGTTATATAAATAAAACTAAAACATTTTGTAAAATTTGAATTATATATTTCCAAATTAGGTCATATTTAGGTAAGAAACAATTAAAAATCGTAATTATTGTTTGCAGTTCGCTGTGAATCTTTTCCGAACTCTACCTCCTTCGTCAAATCCAAATGGTGCAGAATTTGATCCGGAGGAGGATGAGCCTACATTAGAAGTTGCTTGGCCGCATTTGCAATTTGTTTATGAATTTTTTCTACGTCTCCTGGAATCTGCCGACTTCCAGCCATCGATCGCCAAACGTTACATAGATCATAAGTTCATATTACAGTTGCTTGACCTTTTCGATTCTGAGGACCCAAGGGAACGAGATTTCCTTAAGACAACGTTACATAGGATTTATGGAAAATTCCTAGGGTTGAGGGCCTATATACGCAAACAAATAAACAATGTGTTTTATCGGTTTATTTATGAGACCGAACGCCATAACGGTATTGCTGAGCTTCTCGAAATTCTTGGAAGGTGAGGCAGAAAGTTTATGCATTTGTATTGCAGATTGTTTTTATCCATGCATGTTTAAAAAACATAATTATATTGTTCTCTTAATTGAACATAATTAAATAAAATAAGTATCAAATTATTCTACACTATATGAAAGGATTTATAGGATTTTACTACATTATGAATAAACATTGCGTAATGATTCTAAAAAATAATATCATTTTAAATTATTTATAATAAAAAAAAAATGATGATAAAATATTTATTGAGTTCAAATGTAATATTAAAAGCATGGTACTTCATTATTATTTTAACAGTTGTAACATTTTAATATAAATCATAAAATGAAAAATAGCAAATATAGTCAAATTAATTATTTAAAATCATTAAATCACGTTAATAATGTAACAATTATTAACTGCATATTAGAAATATTTCATTGTAAATAAATTATAAGTTTGAGATGAGTTATAAGTTTTAAAATTTAATTTAAAATATTTGTTTAAATGTGTGACAATAATAAAGTTTTGTTTTAAAACAATACAATAATAATGTTTTTAGACATCATTTCTTGAAATATTATTTTTGTAATTTTGTAAAGGTATTATTCAGATTTGAAATAAATTATTTGATGTAATATTAACAGCTATTTTTTTTAAATTTATTATATTCATAAAAATCTTTCTTTTGACAATTTTGATAATATAATAATGTATGATTTTCTCTGAAAATCTTTATATACTTTCTGATTTAGATACATTTTAAAGAAACCATCGAATTAGAAAAAAGTGTTTATTTTAAGCTGTAATGTAATTGAACTTATTGTAAACATTTTATTTCAGTATCTATACATTTTTATATTTAAATATATTAAAAATCATTTTAAAAATATATTTAAAAATAAATTTTTTTTATTAACATTATTTATAGAAATTCATGATTACTGATAACAAGATTTCGAAATATTTATATATTTCATATATTATAAATATATTTATATATTTAGATATTATAAATTTTATATAGTTTTGTAAAATGTAAGTCACACAATTCCATTTTATTAAATGTATTTGAAATTTTGTTATTACGAAATTCAACTTTTTTATTTCTATTTAAAATACGTATTACTACAAATATTTTTAATCTTTGACATTTTATATATTATTGAATATATTACATAATTTAAGTACTGGTGAAATCAAAAGTTAACATTCGAATTATGATTATCTATATGATACAACTTTCGTAATCAATTTTAATTTATAATATAAATTTTCTGAAACAATTGGAATCCTTGTTCTTTACATTTTTTATAATACTTTTTATATATTTACAAAACTTTGTCTGTTTATAGTATTATAAATGGCTTTGCACTGCCCCTGAAGGAAGAGCATAAGACTTTCTTATTAAAAGTCTTACTACCTCTGCATAAGGCAAAATCTCTGTCGGTTTATCACCCACAGCTTGCTTACTGCATTGTACAGTTCCTAGAGAAGGACGCTTCGCTTACAGAACCAGTCATTAAGAATCTTCTGAAGTTCTGGCCAAAGACGCGTTCCCCAAAGGAGGTCATGTTCCTCAACGAGCTCGAGGAGATACTTGACGTCATTGAGCCCGCTGAGTTTCAAAAGGTCATGGATCCACTCTTCAGACAACTAGCGAGGTGTATCTCTTCTTCGCATTTCCAAGTGAGTCCTTTATTTCTTTTACATGCAATGCGTAAATACCGTATTGTTTTATTAAAAAATTATTTTTATAACATTGAATAGTTAGCATTAATTAGTAGTCTATAATGAATAATGAAATGCTATTTTAGATATTTTTGGATAAATTTGGTCACATTAAAATTGATTATTTTATGAATATCAGAAAGAAAATTTTTATTGTTAATCAGAAATTAAAAATAATAGGCTTATGTTCTAACTCAATATAAATTGAAAAAGACACTTTTGAATTAACCTTCTTTCATATAGTATGTACTAAATTTATCAAATATGTTCATTGTTATTTCTTTATTACTCGTTTAAATTTAATCGTAAAAAGTTGCTCACTCTTAGGAATAAATCTAAAAAGCATATTTTTCAGTAAACTATACCATCGATTAGATTTTTACGTTATACTTTTATTTCGTTCAAATTGTTTCGAATTTATAAATTCGAACAAGTTGAGAAATTACCTTGGTAGTTAGATTTATTTATTAGTTATGAATATACCTGCATATAATTAACTGTTAATATAAATTGATTTACTGATGCTTAATAATTTTAGTAGAATAATTAATAAATCAAAGTAAAATTGGTTATTTTATTTGTATAATGAATTTTTGTATACATTATGTCGCATAAGGTTCGAATTTTTAAATGTTACTTTTATAACTTGAAAAGTAATGATTAATTAACGTTAAATTAATAATAATAATAAATTAATAATAAAGCTTTGAGTTGTAATTATTTTATATTGCAATATTAACAAAATCAATTATTTTTTTACTAATATACAAATAGTATTATTTACTATGTTTTAATGTTATATTTCAATTTTTTAAAATAATTTTAGGTAGCTGAGAGAGCTCTATACTATTGGAATAACGAATATATAATGTCCTTAATTTCGGATAATTACTTGATCATCCTACCTATAATATATCCAGCCTTGTATAAAAATTCTCGAAATCATTGGAATAAAACGATACATGGTCTAATTTATAATGCATTGAAACTCTTTATGGAAATGAATCAAAAGGTGTTTGAGGAGTATATACAGCAACATCAACAGGTAGCTATTCAAATTTAATGATCATTAAATATATTTGCATGATTATAATTGTGTACTCTAAATATTAATATTTATATTCATTTATTTATATATTTTTCTAGGATCGACAAAAAGAACGCAAATTATTGAAAGATAGAGATGAGGCTTGGATAAGGGTGGAGGCACTGGCTATGAGGCATCCGTCATATGCAACTAAAGTAGTACCAAATAATAATCCTTTTATAACGGCACAACTTGAAAATAACTCAATGCCTGATGAAGACGGAGAAAATGAACAAATTATGTTAACAGCTGATAAAATCGAGGCGAAGGTTAATGAAGTAAGTGTACAAAACGTAAGTGCACGTAAATCATCATTATTAAAAATATTAAAACATGACAAAGAAAATTTTTTTATATTTTAACTCCATATTTTTTTAATATTTATTTTTGTTAATATATAAGCATATTTTGTTTAACTGAATATTTTTTTGTCAGAATTTGTATTGTATTTCGATTAATTTGTTTGAAAACCTAATTACAAATTAAATTATATAATTGATTTTTATTTTTTAAACATATAATCTTTTAAACCTAAGTAAACAAAAGCTATTTAGTCATTTAAAAAATTAGTATTTCAAAACTTTATTCTTAATTATTAATACTTTGTTCTATTAAATTTAATATTTATTTGAAAAAAAGTGATGCAAAAACTGGCAAAAATCATATATTCATGCAATTGTTCAAATAAACATGATTAAAAATACTTACTTTCAATATTAGTATTCTCAGGCAAAGAAAGTTTCAAACATAAACAAGGTGAAACAACTATTGCGAAGGAAAAGTGAATTACCTCAAGATTCCTATACGATTCGAGCACTTTCGGATCATAAAAGAGCGGATGAATATCTTGTTACGCCACCGGATTCTAATAATTGCTAGTCTCTACCTTGCTCTCTTCTGGTTTATTTTCAAATACGTAACAACGAGGTCGGGAGTTAAAGAAGTTTCTTTCTTTACATCGATCGAGTAAACTACTTGAAGGATAAATTAAATTTGATGGAGATAATTGTAATTAATTTAAAGAAGAGAAAAAATGAATAAGAATGGGGGTGTGACTGTAATATATATATATATATATATATATAAATGATTTTTCAATTTTTTAAGCTGGCTGATGAGTTCTGCAAATAATTATATAAAAATAAATAAACGTTGCTGTACTATTCTTTATACATGAATGATGTGTATGAGGACGTTCTTGCGATATAGAACACGAATGTCTTCATAGAATGAGATTTTTTGTACAAAAAGAAAAAAATAATAATAATAATTATACAAAAGGATACGCTTCGCTTTTATTGATTAGAAACGAAAAATTGTCGAAATGCGTTATCTGATTTGCGAATTTTAAAATATGACACATTTGACCAAAAAATGAAACGCCAGTCGTTTATATCTAGCATAAATTACATCAGTGTTATAGTTCCAATCTTATACAAAATTATAATCAAGACAAGAAATAAATAAATGCGCAGTAATTTCTATAAACGTTATATCCGTTGTGCCTCCGTGTAAAACAAAACGCTTGTCATTTACGAGATTTTAAGTTCTCTCTAGGATCACTATTCCGTCGACAGCCGGAAAATGAAATTATCAGTAAATGTCATTATAATAATGTATCGTTAAAAGTCATATAAGACTTAAAAGAAATAATTGTGCTATCATGGCCAAATATAAAAAGGGTGGATCAAAATGCATCAAGGAAAAACGTTAAAAACGCATTCTCTTTACACTGCTGGCAGGCTGTTATGTTACTATTGCATATACCTTGTTAAAAACTAGATAAGAATAGACTTATATGATAAAAGGATATTCTAAATTAAAACTTGAAGTGAAACAACTGATTTACTTATTAAATAATTATTCTCTCAAAGGAAATCGTCTTTGCTAAAAATTGATTATTTATGGAAATTATCATAATAATATTTAATATTATTAATAAATGTTAATGTGTATAGCAAACATGTAGAAAAGAAAACATTTTTGAAAGCTGAATTTACAAGCTTTCATTATGGAACTTACAAGATATCTTGCTGTTTCAAGCATTTATCACTCGTTTTTCTGATGCTCGCACAAATTAATAATCAATTTTTGTGAAAAGTGGATAATCAAACATTTGTAAACATAACTATAAGTTTTGTTGTCCTTACAAGTATATATTTGAGTTTGACGAGTCTTAATCGTTGATCGATCCAACTCATAGTAAAAAAGTTCTTACTAATGTTTGTGTAATAACAAAATTATATGTTGTATTATATTTGAATATATATAAAAATTCAAAGAAAAAGAGAAGAAAAAGTGGAAAAAATTAATCTTTTAAAAGGATATCAGGACGAGTTATTTTTACTCTAGCGTATTCTACGAGATTATTGTGCATAAAGGCGACACAATGTTTTTCAAAATAGAGCAGCATACCTTCTCACTCTCTTTTTTCTTTTCGAAAAAGAAAAAGTTTCATAGGAATGTAAAAATATATACTAGCATATCAATTTAAAAAATAACATTTTTTAAATTATCAATAATGTAACGATAATGCATTCCTATGATTCTTGTACTTATGAGGAAATACCACATTCTTTTTATTCTTCTAAAAAGAATAAAATAAAATATAATTAATCCAACGATTGAAGATCGATTTTAATTTATGCGATTGTAAATACTGTATAAAAGTAAATATTTCATGAAACCGACAGATTTTTCATTTTCGCAATGAGCAATATGTATACAGTCTTTATTTGCCCTCCCACATTCGTTATGAAAATCATATAGCATAATTGTTATATTTTTTCATTAAAATAATTGAAAAGAAAAGCCAGAGACGTTTATCTCTTGCAAATATCTCTTATTCGTATCACTTTTTATAATCAAACTAAATATGTAATCATATAATTTAGAAAAATCAGAGTAAGAAAAGAATGTTTAGTAATATTTGAATGACTTAATAAATTTCTTCTTGAACCTAATAGTAATATTAAATTTTTGCACGAATTTATACAAATATTAGACAGTATTATATAGCAAGCTTCTATAAAGCAGTTGTAAATTATAATGTATATTAATTTCATATTGACTTCTAATTATTATTATTATTAGCTATTGTCTCCTACTACTACTGCTACTACTACCTGTTCGTTTGTAACAAATTTTTATCAATGCCGGGTGTGCAAATATTTTTCAGACGTATACATAATGCACATAGCATTCAAATTGAAATAAACTTTGGAGAAAACCTACGCCACGTTCGAAGTTTTAGAGTACACGTGGTTACAGTATTAAAGCACTGATATATTTGTGTGGATATTTAAAATCTATAATTTATTAAATTATCATTTAGAGTTAATATTGAAAAAGATTGTAATTATTTCAGTAATTCAAGTATTAGTGAGTAATTCTAATAATTTTGTTACAAAAACAAATACAAATAAATATTAGCACTTATGCTACTTATATAAAATAACAATAATTAATAATTATTAGAAACTTATCAACTTTTATTTAAAAATAAAATAGAAATTCTGTGAATTATACTTAGCTATTTCTGGTCATAAAGTGTAATTTTTTATTAATTTTTACTTTTAGTAACGTGCAATGTATTATCTTTATTAAAACATCAACATAGAACAACTAAACATTTCTGTTTGTAATTTGTTGAAAACATAGTTTTATAGCAAATAAAGAATTACGGATTAAAATTAAAAAATTGAATGGTTTTTTTCGTTATAGCCTAAATATACATAAGATTATACGTAATATTTTGTACTTTGATACAAAAAAATGCATTCATATAAAAATTTGATCAATTAAAAATTAAATTCTAAAAAATTTGTAATCAAATTCAAATCATTTTTTGAATTTGATAGAAACAATAGATAAACAGCTAACCATATTTAATTAAAAAATAGGTTCATGAAAGTTTAGTCTTTTGAATATAAAAAAAAATTTACAATGGTAAATATTTTTAGTTTATTAAAAAGTTATGAATTAAATTATTAATAAATATTATATAAAAAGCAAATTATGTTGATATTTAGTTGAAGCCAACCACTTGTAAAGAAGCCATTCTAAGATGGCAGGAAAAATATGAAAAACCAGCAAATGCAGAAAAAAACATATCTTTAAGTTTTCAATGGCCACCAATTGAAAAAATGGATAACGGATTGTCGCAACTTATTAATGTCGAGTGACTACTAAATCATTTTATTAAAATATTGCATAACACATACTAATTTGAAAACTAAAATATTAAAAATTATTTCTCTGTAGAATAGCTATTATTATTATTATTATTAATGCTTTAGCTATTTTTATTTTCTTTACACAATTTTTAAAAAGTTTTTATTTGATTTTTTATTTCTTATTATTTAGGTTTATAAATGATTTAAGTATATAAATTTTTTATCAGAAAATTATCACTGTCAACAAATATGATTGTAAAGATAGCTGGAATTCATTCATTAAAGAATTTAAGAATTTTGTCACTCAGTCGTAATAATATAAAAAACTTATCTGGCTTAGAAGCCATTGGTGATCATTTAGAACAATTATGGATTTCTTACAATTTGATCGAGAAGTTAAAAGGTGCAAATGTTCTAAAAGCTCTAAAAGTACTATATATGGGAAATAATTTAGTTAAAGATTGGGCAGAATTTAATCGATTACAAGAATTACCTAATCTCCAAGATTTACTATTTATTAATAATCCTCTTTGTGAAAATATGGATCCAGATGCTTGGCGTGCACAAGTCATAAAAAAGCTACCCCATTTAATAAAATTAGATTCTATTCCCATTGTGTATGTATTTATAAAATTTAATGTTTTTTTATAATCCATTCTATACTATTATCTTTTTTCAGAAGAATTGTAGAAGATGAATAACTTTATATATATATATATATATATATATATATATATATATATATATAAATTTGAAACAACATAAATAAAAATAATACTAACTTTACATAAAAATTAAGTTTTGTTTAAATTTTTAAAATAGCAACAATAAACTTATAAAATATATTAATAATTTTCAACTTTCATATCATTAAGTCCAAGCTCTTCATTTTGTTCAAAAGTTCTTGTATATTTTGTTATTTTTAATTTATCGTCACATCCAATATCAGATAAACTTTGTACATAACTATTCCCAGCTGGATCATCAAGAATCAAAGTAATCTTCTTATTTTCATGTAAGATTTTATCAAGCTGTGTTATAAAATTATTCATTTTTTTTACAATATTTGAATCAGCAGTATCGCCTATCAGAGTAGTTGATGATGCTAACTGGTCTTTTATTGAAATAATAATTCCTTCAACAGTAGTAAAGCGTCCACCTAAAGTAGCAGGGCCAATTTCTAAATCTAATTCAGGAATATTCATATGACATGTTTCAGATTTTAATAAATCTCTACTAAAATCTTCTTTAGCATTAACTGTTATCTGTATTTTAATACCTTCAGGTTCTATACCACTACCACTTTTTACTTCATTGGTTTTGTGGCCACAAATTTCACAAACTGTAGCCATTATCACAACTTCTTTAAAATATGGTATTTCTGAGCAAATTAATCAAGTATTGACTTTACAGTAATAATTTTAAATCAATTAAAAATTAAAATAATATTTTATACTTACTTGTCATTTTCATATTTGTTTCACAAACAGCATTACATTCTGGACAATTAGTTTTGAAAGTTATAATTTCTCCTTCAATTTCCTCTAATGTATACTCGTCTTCATTAATTGATTGTAAAATTGTATCTTCATTTTCTGAATATATACCTAAAATATGATTTTGTTGCATTGTTCTTCTAAAAAGATGTACTTCACATTCTTCATCCTTCTGAGGTGCTTTAGGATTTTGAACAGTAGTGTTACCTGATATATCCTCAAGTAAAATAATAAATGGTTCATCAACATTCATAAGATCATGTAGCTTATTTATAAATTGCTCAATTTGTTCTGCAGCTTTTGTATCTATTTGTTTGCGGCAATCTTGATCATGCTGTAACCCAACAATTGCACGGTTGATGATTCCCTCAACTGTAGTTATTTCTATAAAAATATTTAAAATATTTCTTAATTATAAGTAACATATAAATATTTAATTAATTAATTAGTTACCTCCTTTTTGTGATTGGGAAGGTATTTCAAAATCAAGATGTGGTATGCAGATACTTGTATAATCAGACTTCACAACTTGTCTATTAATATCTGATTTGGAGTTAATACTTAATTTGATTTTGATACCTTTCTCTTCAATCTTTCCTGCACTTTGTATCTCATTATTTTGATAGTTACAATGCTCACATTCAAACGACATTAACATTATATCTTTATAATAAGGAATTTTTGTAAGAAATATCCTAGTTATCCCCTGGAATAAGTTAAAATATTGTAAAACATACTATTCAATTATGCGAATATTATTTACGTTATCATAAATAAAAGCTAACATTTTCCCCACAATTCATACACAAACTTTCAATTACAGTTGATTCAGCGTTAGGATCATCTGCATCAATTTCCCGAAAAATTGCTTTTGATATATTTAAATTTTCATGAATTTTGCCTGCCATTAAAGTGTTGAGGTTATATCCCACTAAAAGTACGCAATTAGTTTAACTATTTACGTTCTATTTAAATTCTTAAGTTAATATAAAATTTAAACCAAAATAATGTTTTATTTGTATTAACAATTGTATAATTAAAATTTTATTTCAATATCAGTCATTTGAAAGGTATAAAATATTGCTTTAACAAAATTTTATATATCAACGTGTTGAAACACAAACAGCTGATTTGTACTTAATATGTTGGAAGTTTAAATTGTTTAATACTTAATTAATTCAAATTACTTCTTAGATATCAATAATTCCAATCAATATTATTATTTATAGATCGCAAATAAATAATAAATAGTAAATAAAGTTTACATTAATATACTTTGCAGTTTTAATTAAATATGTAATGAAATTTAAAATATTATTTAGTCATTGTAATTTCAATTATAAAATGCAACAATGTAAAATAATAATGTGGATAGAATATTTATATAAAATTCTAAATTAAATTTTTTAAATAACTTTTTAATTTTTTTCATGTAAAAACTATTCAAAATTTTAAAAGATAACAATATTTTAAAGACAATTACCAAACAGTATTTGTTACAAAAGTAAAATATTTTCTTCAATCTTGTAAAAAATAAAAGAAATGAATTAGAATATTTATAAAATATATATTTTGTAATTTTTTAAAGATATTTTTTCAAAAGTATCTTATAATTTTTTATATTTATTAATTTTATGTAAGATATAAATATAATATTGATTTTATAATTTTATATTATTTGTACATTTAATTTTCAATACTTTTTAAACCAAATATTAAGTGATATCGAAGTTTTTTCTCAATTTATGGGAAGCCTTTAAAATTAACAATGCTTTGAGACAATCATATTTATCGGCATAATTTATTCTTGTAATCATAGACTTATAAATTATTAGTTTTGTTCTGTTCAATATATTTTATTATTCTGTTGATCAAATAATGTTGTAGAATAATATAATGCTCTGTTCAAATTCACCCGAGGCGTTTCAAATCTCAGTTTTAAAATTTCTTCGGTTAAATCATGAAATGTTAAAAGAATATTTGTTATACACGCGTGAATAATTGAATAAATAGGTAGGAAAAAGAAAGAAAAATGACTAATTAAGTTTTTAGCTGCAATTGTCTAATATTAGTTTTCTTTAAATTATATTTAATTATAAATTTCTTATCTAATGTTGATATATAACTTATAAGAATTAATCAAATAAATGATATATTTCAAACTGGATTAATGCCGTGTTTCCAGCGTTGACCAATAAAGTGTGGCGTGTATCTTCCATTGAATAACAAAACACGGAGCTCTATATTGAAATATTCATTAAATTTTTCAAATTAAAACTAAATTTTTTAGCAAATATCGAGTTTAAACATATTAATAAAGGAAATAACAAGACAATGCATAACAATTGCATTATTTTTAAATATTACATAATGCATATCATTGATTTCATTAAATTATATTTTTGATATATATAATTTAAAGATGCATGATTATTTTTTCATACTTGGAATACCTTTAATTATTAGAAATGTATAGTTGTATGTTGAATAAGGTACTGAGGCGTATATTTTGTTAATTTTGAATAGTAATATTGCACATTAATAATCAGTCAATTGTTTATGATCCTTTTTGAGCAAATTAAAATTTTAAATTTTATAATTTAAATATATAGGCTGACTTTTCTAGGCAGACACTTTTTATTCTTGAGAAACTATTATAATTTTTTTATATGAAATTTTAGCTTTCATGTATATATTTTTATATATTAATACGATTATAGTTATATTTGCTTAGATAATTTGCGTCAATAATTTTGCTATAAATTTTTCCATTATCACAAAAAAGAATGAAGCAAAGTTTCTTGAAGATGGAAAGGCTAGATATTAAATAATGTTGATATATATAAAAGATATATTCCAATGAAAGCAAAAAAATTTGTTGTAGAGTGAGTTTCTGCCACCAATAAGCTGATGAAAAGCCGACATAATTTTTTATATATAAATATATTATAATCGTTATTAATATACGAAATCCATATAATGAAGTGTATGTAAATTGTATTGAAAAAATTTCAATTTAATAGTAGTTGGACTATTTACTAATTAATCATGCTTTGTCAACTAACTTCTTTTACTTCAAATTATTACATAATAGTCATTGCTCTTATACAAGTGCAGTGTCTGACTTTACTTCTTTCAGCATTTCCTTTTGGTTGCAAGTTCTGATATAAATTTATTCTGATAGTTTTTATTGAAAACTGAAAGCAGTAGGAATTATAATCATTACTGGATACACGGTTTCTATCAAATCGAAGTTTATTAAACAAAAATATATTATTGTTATATAAAATTATTAGTAAATACTGTTATAAATAGTTATATCTAAATACTTACAATAGAATCTATTATTTTGATTAACTGCTAAATTCAATAGATGCTTTGAGATAAGACACACTCAAATTATGAAAAATCTTGTATCAGTGCACTTAGTATATAATTATCATCAAAGGAGTTCTTATTTTATTTTTGATATTGAGAAGTAATATTTATTTGAATAATAAATAATATTATGTTTAGTTAAATTTAAACTACTTATTAGTTTATGACAAATATAGATATTGATTTAACGCAATATATAAGTTTATTAAAATTACAAATATATATTTTTATGTATACAAATGTACATATAAAATAATTATGATAAAAACTTAGTAAAATTAATATTAAATACAAATTTAACAAATTTATAAATAAAGATAAATATTATATCTATGTCTATATGGAAATATATAGGTTACAACTTTTTACACTGTTTTCAATGATATATTACATTCTTGAGGAATACTTTTGGGTTCATTATCATTAATGCAATTAGTAACAGTTTCTAATATATCAGGTGACAAATCAATTGGCAATAAATTATCTTTAATATTAGGATTATTATTATCATAATCGGCACTAACAACATAAATTTGTAAATTTGTCTTTCCTGATTCATCAGCATTATTTTTTCTTAAAACAACTAATGATCCAGGCTTTAAATTTGTTATATTAGGCATTTCATCTACAATTCCTTCAAATATATTTGTTGAAATGTTTGAACTAGCTCCCAATATTTCTAATAGCTCGCTTTGATTTTCAGTTTCGTCATCAGTTTGCAATTCAATTATTTCATTTAATTGACTATCGACTTCATTTAAAGTTACACTATTATCAATTCTATTTAAACTATTAGTTTCCTTATCTTCATCATCATTATTATTATACCTATCATCTATTTGTTCAATATCTCCTATATTTTCAATATTAAAGATATTTATTGATTTTTGCACTTTACTAGTTTTTCTGAATGTTCGACCAGAACGCGTAGGTTGAATCTTGTATATTTCTGATTCACTATCAGAATTACTTTTAAAATATTTGGTACAAATATTTACTTGTGATTTAATTGTTTTACGTTTACGTATTACACGCTTCTTAATGTTTTTAGTAATAGTTATCCTAGAACTTTCATCACTTGATTCTTCATCACAAGTATTTTTGTTATATTCTAAATTTTCATCATCATTTTCACAATTGATTTCTTCAGTTAATAATTCTAAAAACGTCAATTAATTTAAAAAATTACAAATTAATTTTAATGTATGTATATGATTTTTATAAATAGTTAAATAAAGAACTTACGACATCTTTTTCTTTTTTTTTTTATAGATAAATTTATATTTTTATTAATTTTATTCAGTTCAGCTGATTCTTTTCGTTCACTTTCGTCGACACTAGCTATTAAAATAAAAACAAAGAGAAATATAGAATAATAGATTTTATAGTATTTCATAATTATTAGAATACTTACCAAGATCTTTTTGTAATGTTTCTGTATTAAATTCTTGATATTGAAGAGCTTTTTCAACTAGATTGCGATTCAATCTTTCTTCTTTTTTATATTTTAATTTTAGTTCTTGTCTAGTTCTCATTGGAAAAATACTTTGCATTAATAAAAAATCTGTACCATACGTATTTAAAGCTTTATAAAACTTCACAGTTTCCCATTTATTCCATTCTTTACTTTTTTTACGTCTTTTGTAAAAGCCATTTCCTGTAGTATCCTCATCTATTATAATATCAGAACGATCAATATTTTTTTGGGCTTTATATTGATCTATTACAAGACTTTGTTCATCGATTATTAATTGACCATTTGGTCCAACTTTTACTTGAGGTACTAACATTTCTGAAGGCTCATCTTCAGTTTCTTCTTTTTTTTTATCAGTAATGCTATATAAAATTTTTATTGAATATTAGTCATATTTTACCCAATTCTACATGTACACACATATATTTAATTTAAGTTGCAATTATATCAATATACTTACGAGCACACTGATATTTTTCTAATACTGGGTCTAATTGTTACTGGTTTTTGCTTCATAGGATTGCTAGTAGGATTGTAATAAATTAAATCATACATTGTTAATTTACTTTTATCCGGTGATTTATTTTCATGCTTTAAAAGAAATTCTCTTCTAGCTTCTGCCAGTTTTCTTGCAGATTCAGATACAACCATTCGCCTTTTTTGGCCCAGATTTAATTTTGCAATACTGTTTATATTGCCATTATCTTTTAAACTTTGTATAGAACTAATAGAATCATTTCTGACACGATTCTGTATAATGATATTTGATCTTTTACTATCATCTTCTGATTCACTTGCACTAGCACCACTTCCATGTACACTATTTCTACGAATCCTACCCCCTCCATCTAATCTAGGAGTTGGTCTCATAAAGCACAAACGACTTTGCATTGTTTTAATTGGTGAACCTATGAATTTTATATTATGAAAAAAAAAATGTATTTATATATATATATATAAATTATTTATATTTTTTTATAAATTTTAATTTTTGAGTAAATCATAAATTTCAACATTTTTTTGACCTATGAATATTATAATTAATTGTTTATAAAATCTGTTTTTATGGATATTAAATACAAATTTTTAAATTTATTAAATAAGTAGACAAATATATAACATTTACCTTCGATACACGTACTTGGTAGTTTTTGCTGAAATTCATTTTTTGAAATTTTTTGTCCATCATTAATTTGCTTTGAGTCTTTATCGTAAACATTGAATTCCACACAATCTTTATCTTTTATAGAGTAGATTGTTCCTTTTCTTTCTACTTTATGTGTAATTAATTGCTCTGGTTCTATTTGTTTAACTTCATTACAAGCATATTCAGTTCTAACTGTTAAGTCATTTTCTATTAATTTTTCAGGTATTTTTTTATCAATTTGTTGTAGATTTTCTACCACTGATGCATCTTGTATTGCTTTTCGACGTACTGGTACTGTAGCTAAAGCTTTTATTCTTGCACGTCTCATGACTTATTAATTATATAAAAATATATATACAAAATACAATTAAATAATAGAAATATTTGGTTATTTTAAAAGGTATGCAATGAACTTATAATATTTAAATCTAAATATTTAATTCATTAATTAATAGAATTAATCATTTGAAATTTTTAATATTTTAATTAATGCTTCATTATAGTATTGTTTACAATATAAAATTTAGGATTTTAATTAAATATGAATGTATGTAATCATATACTACATTAATTCAAACAAAACCGCAACCAGTTTTAGATAAATAACCTAAATGATAGAAATATTATAAACGTACTTTATATAAGAAAAGCTGTTCACTGCTGTAAATTTGAATTTTGCTTTCTATTTTGATTATAAATATATTTTAGACGATGTTACGTTTGTCATGCATTTTTAAACCTCAATGGTGTTGGATATAACTGTTCGTATATTTACATGATATTATTCATGAAGTATTTTAGTTGAACCATAATATAAGTGTATCACGCTGCTATGCGTGATTGGAGCACAGAATTAGTGGGGCAATGCATATTTGGAATTTCATTTTGAATTTCGATGTTTTACAGATCAATTTTAGCACCTTTACAATAAATTCTGGCTAAAATTGCATTTATAAAGCGTTTCTAATTCAATATTTATTATATTTATTTAATATTATATTAAATGGTATATATTCGGTCAAATAATATAAAAAAATATTTATTTTATACATATGTGTAAAATAAAATGTTGTTTAAATATTTAATGTAAAAAAATTATTATCCATTAGTTTCAATATTTTTCTTTTTAACATTAATAAAAATAGTTTTAATGAAAATTTGATGCATAGTTAATAGATTTTACGATCAGGCATATTAATCGGGTCTGAAAAACAGGAAATGTTAAACTCATAGGTTACATTATACTATACCATACGGTTATTGACTAAAAATTATACTTCTATTTTTTACTTGATTTGTAGATAAAACTTTTGTGGTCGACTTGCCGCAAATTTAAAAAGTAAACTTAATAAATATTTAAATTATATAGACAATACATATATTCTTAAAAATGGTAAGTTAATAATATTATTCGCACTTTTGGTTTAATTATATTATTTAATATGTTTTATTTATTTTATATACCGTCTTCGATACTCTAGGTTATGTGGGAATTGCAGTGTCATGTAGTCAACAGTATTTTATTACTGTTCTACTATTCTACTGTTTTAAATGTATTAATTACACATTTTTTAAAACTATTATTATAAGTCTATTTAAATTATTTATTAATTGTTTATTTTTATGTTACATATCCAAAACGATGTAATTTTTTCCATATTTATACTTAATTGATAATATTATTATGAAAATTAAATAATAAATTTTCCTAAAATTTCGTATTTTAGGCTCGAAGATATGATACTCGTACAACGATATTTTCTCCAGAGGGACGTTTGTATCAAGTTGAATATGCTATGGAAGCTATAAGTCATGCTGGTACTTGTCTTGGTATTTTAGCAAATGATGGTATTTTATTAGCAGCTGAAAAAAGAAATACGAATAAGCTTCTAGACGAAGTATTCTTTTCTGAAAAAATTTATAAACTTAATGATGATGTAGTGTGTTCAGTTGCTGGAATAACATCAGATGCAAATGTCTTAACAAATGAATTACGCCTCATTGGCCAGAGATATCTTTTACAATATGGAGAAACAATTCCTTGTGAACAATTGGTATCATGGCTTTGTGATGTTAAACAAGCTTATACTCAATATGGTGGCAAGAGACCTTTTGGTGTATCCATTTTATATATGGGATGGGATCATCATTATGGTTATCAATTATATCAGTCAGATCCTAGTGGCAATTATGGTGGTTGGAAAGCAACATGTATTGGTAATAATTCTGCAGCTGCAGTTTCATCACTGAAACAAGAATATAAAGAAGGAGAAATGACTTTAAAAGATGCTATGGCACTGGCAATTAAAGTTATGTTTAAAACATTGGATATGAACAAATTGTCATCTGAAAAAGGTTAATTCTAATGTACTTTGTAATTACTGTTCAGAAATTTATTATATTAGCTAGTTGCATACGTATGGAAATGATATTAAAATAATGTGTTATATAAATAAGAATATTTATAAATGATAGTAATATTTATTATTTGATATATTCTAAAAATTAAATTTTTTTAAAATTTATGTTCATTAATAATTTAGAAATAAATTATAAGATTAAAAATTGATAATAAATATTACAACTTGTATGTGATTTTTATTAATTTTTGATTATACAATCATAGATTTTCCATTCTGATTATATTTATTAAAATAATTCAATTATTTTTTTAGTTGAATTGGCAACTCTAACGCGCGTAGATGGAAAGACGAGGACGAGAATCTTGCCGCCAAATGAAGTAGAAGCATTAATTGCTGAACATGAAAGATTAGAAGCATTGGCAGAAGCAGCAAAGAAGGAAAAACAAAAACTTTAAATTGTATACTTTGATTGTTTGATTCTATGGAATGTAATTATTGTAATGAATTGATTAATAAAGAGTATTTCACCTTTTTATTGTACGTAAATCAAATATAATAAGATTTAAATAGTTCAATATTTATTATGGGTTTTTCATTATTGTTCAATAATACGGAAAAAAACATTTTCACTGTAAGAATCTACATTTGCAATCTTTATTAACGTCCCGCAATAAATAAGTTATAGCCTCAATGATTGTTCCTAACAATGACGCAGATAAGCTGGCAGTCAAACTCTTAAGTCAGATGTAAAGTGGAGGTCATTGTTGATCGATTTTTCTTCATCTCTAAGCATATTCGTTCGAACAGTGAATACTTCTAATTTTGTGAAAAATATTTTTTAAATCTTTTCCTAATATGAGGCTTCTATTGGCCTGGATTCTTTTCATACAGGCATATATTATTTTTGGGGATCATAATACAGGTAAAGGATTTTTCAAAACGACAATCATTTTCATTTAATTTACAATTTTTGTCGTGTTAATAAAATTTAACAAATAAAATTTCAAACTTATTTTGTAAAATACATTTATAATTGTTTTTTTTAATCGTGGATATATTCTTTTTTAAATAAGTGTCTGAAAGAGATTTAATTATAAGGAAAATATCAGAATAAAAATAATATAATTAATGATTAGGCAATGTATGAATATTTTATATTATTTTAAATGTTTCATTAATAAATTTTTTTTCAATTAATAATAAAACTATATTAGATTTATTTTTATATCTCACAAGTAAAAGTTACAAATATTCTAATAAATATTTATGAAAACATTAGAAATATTTTACATATATATAAGGCAACAAATGAGGTATGAAATGCAGTCATTTTTAAATTTTTTGATAATTTTTTAAATTTAAGTAATTTTCATCTTTTAATTTATTTTTTTTATTATACATTATTTTAGTTTTATTATTATTGTAATATTTTATTTTATATATTTACAATTATTAAATATTTAAATATAAATAGATTTGCTATACATGATAAAATTTGGTAAATATAAATTTGAACATAAACAATTAAGAATAACTTTTACACATATTTCTTACAGTTAATCTGAAATTTTTACATTGTGTTTACGTTAATACTTCCAGGTCTTGATCAATGCGGCATTGCAAATTCTAATAGAATTATTGGTGGTAAAAATGCATCAATGGGCGCTTATCCTTGGATTGCTAGAATTGGATATATAAAAAAAAATGACAAAGAAAAAGATGTTACATTTCGTTGCGGTGGCACAGTTATTACTGAAATCTATGTTATAACTGCAGCTCATTGTATTGTGAATTTAGCTAACAAGTAAAAAATTAATAGTTATATTTCATATATGATTAGTTTTCAGATTTCATTTATCAGTTCATAAACACCAAAATTATGATTATTCAATAGTTTTCTTCTTTTGATTGAGAACTTATATTTATATTGAAAATTAAATAAAATTATAAAATAAAATTAATTACTTTATAAAATAAATTATATTATAATTATATAATACTATACTAAAATATAATGAAATACTACAATAAACAATTGCATAAACAGAAGGTTTATTAATTTGTAATTATTTGCAACAAAAAATGATGTTAAATTAAAATAATTTCGATTAATTTATTTAACATACTCTAAAATACATTATGAATTATTATTATAAATAATTACGTTAGTATATACGACTAGTACTTAAATTGTTTATTTAAAATTTGAAAGCTTTTAAACATACTATTAAAATAATTATGTTAAGATTTAAAATAATTATTTTTTTATAAAAAGAACATATTAAATATATTATAAATATATCAATTAAGACATTCTCATTCGTACTAAAAATATGTCATAATAAAAATTAATTTTACTAAAATTGTATTTAAAATTTTTCATAACGTATAATTGAAAAATGAAAATCTGAAAAAACAATACATTAAATTCAAAAATTACTATGCTAAAGTTATAGATAATTTTTTTTTATTTGATTTTTTGTATAATAAATTATAAGAAATTAAAAAATTGATTTTATATTAATCACATTATAATTAAACATGTTTGATTATTTTGCCTTATAAATTAACTTTTATTTAAAATTGAAATACTTATTTTATAAAATAAAGTAAGTTATTATTAATGTTCTAAAAGATACTCTAAAAATAAATAAAAAATTATATGGTATATATAAATAGCAATCAATCATGAGTTAAAGCATATTATAGATTTTATTTTATTTTGTAGCATTTTAATTTATTTCAAAAAACGATCATGAAATTGTTAGTATAAATAAAAATATGATTTAAATTCTATATCATTTATAACAATAATATTTTTATATAAAACTACATTATTTTATGTAATGTGTGTGTATTTTATGGATTATTCATTTATTTACTCATAATTATTTATTTAATAAAATATTCAGTATAATAGTTTCACGGATACGATTAGGCGAACATAATACTGAGACAAATCCTGATTGTATTAAGTCATTTTGCAATCTACCTTATCAGGATTTCGAAGCTGCACAAATAACACCTCATGAATCGTACGATAAACCTAAACTTCAAAATGATTTAGGGTTAATAAAATTAAATAAAGTTATCACATTCAACGGTATGTTCAAATAAAATTACGCTTAAATAAATTATATTTGTGAAATAAATTATTATTGTTTGAATATTTATAGAATATATTAAGCCAATTTGTATGATGAAAGCGAAACTGTTGAAGAAGAATTTTATAGGACAAGCGGCGGAAGTTGCTGGCTGGGGAGTATATGATATAAGTACGTATGTATACTAAGTATATTCAAACACTAAATATATAATATGTGATAATTAAATTTATTCTAAAAATTCATTGTTAAAAGACATTGTTTATTCGTGATTAATATATTTATATAAAGTTTTATATTTAATAGAATTTAAATGGATGTAGTAAATTTATTCTTGAACAATTAATTTATAAAGCTTAAAAATTAAATTATATAGATTCTTTAAAGAGTTTCATTTTTAAGAATAAATGTAATTATATAGTTTTCGTGTTTAAATATGAAGAAATATTGTTGAAAATTGTTTGTTAAAAATATATTTTTTTGAATAGAATTATTATTTAATAGAAAAAATTAAATTCATATTTATTTCGCATTACAGAATAAAATTGTTTCCAAATCAATCAAATATTACAATATTATTATAAATAAATATTTTATTTATTTGTAGATAATTTATTATTATTATTAATATAATGCATTATATAAAAGATTTAATTTTTCAATATTATATTAGAAATAAATAATTAAATATTTTAATATTTCAATTTGTAGTAAAAATATTTGAGGAATATTAATATTAAAAAGTATTGATATACTTATTTTTTTATAAACTTCTAAAGCACCAAAATAGTATTAAATGATTTAGATTCACTTTTAAAAATTTAGCCAATTAGTATAATAATATGCCAATATCTAAACAGAAATAATACTTTATAGTTATAGTTATTTACTTTTGTAAATAAATAATTAAAATATTCTAATTAATTGTTGTATCGACTTGTAATAAAAATTAGGTATAATGCGTTGGATGAAAAGTATGAATGTTGTGCACAAAAAAGGTAAATTATTTTTTAAATTTAATATCAAAGTATTTGCAAATAAAAGTAAATATTTCTGTTAAAAATTTTTTAAAAATATAGATAAACTAAATTTCTTCGCGTTTAATAAAGAATTATAAGAGTATGTACAATTAAGTTTAGATCCATTGTAATCATTTGATATCATTTTCATACTAGATGAACATATATTTAAAACTCTCGTTAATTACAATCAGTTATTTATTCGAATCGCTAAATGTGATAAAAACAGAAAGCACTGGAGCCATAGCTGCAAATAGCTAACCTAACGAATAGTCTGTAAAGAAAGAGATATTATTATATAGAGGAGTTAAATGGCTATTTTAGTAGAATTTAATAACCTAACAGTGTGTACTCTTAAAATTCATCAATGAGTGAAATTCCGTAGATGAGCCACAGATGAGTTCAGTACTACAGACGGTGAAGTTGCCTATCGTGGAGATTGAACGTTGCGTCATCGGCTATAAAATAGCGGCACCCATTGGCTATAATCAGCTGTGTGTAGGTGGCAAAGTTGGACAAGACTCATGTGGCGGTGACTCGGGTGGTCCCCTTATGAAGGTCGACGTAGATGGGCCCCTGGGGCCGCGCTATTACATCATCGGCATCGTTTCCTTCGGTGCCAAGCTTTGCGGTGAGACGAACTTACCGGGCGTCTACACCAAGATAGCCTCGTATATGCCCTGGGTTTACGAGCACATCAAGGCTTGATAAGAGCCTCTGAATTATATAATTATTTCTATTCTTACACGTTACGAGCGTTTTGAGTTTTAACCTTTTTCATTCTCTTTTTTTATCTGCGGACAGTTATTGGTTAAAAATACATGGATACACTATGGTGAGAGCGTCTGAAACCGTTTCGAGTAATACATTAACGTGGTTACTTTGTTTCATGATCAATTTGAACCACGAAATTGTGAGAATTAAAATATCATATAATCAACATCAATTTGATGTTGCGAGTATTAAAATTCGATGCTAAATTGTGTAAACGACATTTACAAATAGTATAAGCGCAAGTATATGCACACATAAGCATATAACAGTATAGACAAGTGTGCCCGCGCGCGCCACGTAGGTACTCATATACATTTGTGTAAGAATTTAAATGATACAATAAATAATTTTAATCTTAAACATTTGTACTGTTATTATTATTATTATTATTATTATTATTATTTAATTAGTTTCTTTTCAAAGTATTTAATAAATTGTGTATCTATATAACTTTAATAATTTATACATATACATATGCACATATGGAATTCATATACTGTAAATGATTCTATGTAATAGAATATTTTTGATAGGAAAAGTAATTTGCCATCACTGTAAAGCAGGGCTACTTTTCTTAATTATAGAGAAATCTGTTAACTTTATGCGATGTAATAGAAAATAGTGTCAAATTTATGTTAGAAGTTGTGAAATTATACCAATAAATTACATCGATTTATTCTTTAGCCATTTTGAGTATGAAGCCATGTCACCTTTTTAGATAGTGGTTGGTATTCGTATTTTGGAGAAGAAATATCGAATTAAAAAGTTAAATATCCAATTTAATTACTAAACCCTTATAGCACAATACAATGACATTAAATGTGTGAGGTTTATCGATCATCGTAAAATTAGTGAGGTAATTAATTTTGCTGGTGAGTATCTTTGTATTTTTTGTTACTAAGCTAGAATGTCAATATTTTTCCAATTATTTTCTATATTACAATAATACTATATATTTTAAAGCTACTCTACATTGATTATACTTTTATTAAGATTTTTATTGATTGATACAACGTGCATCTATAGACAACTGACATTTACTTGTGCAATTTGGTTAGGTAAAAACATTTCTCTATCTATTTACATTCAAAGTTTTTCACATTAAAAATATTTCTCATTAAAAATATTTTTGTAAAATTAATTATTTTATTTAAAATATATATGTTCATATTTAATAATGATACTTATTCAAATATTGTTTTATTTTTAATTAATATTATCCTTTGAATGTTAGAAATTGTAATTCTTTAAATATTTTTATTAAAAAATAAAACATTCAAATAAATTTTATTATATTTTTTTCTTATAATAATTATTAAAATATTTGAAATACTCAAAATTGTTATAAATTAAGACTGTTCAGGATCGGAGCACTTTACAAGACTTTTGGCTCTTGGAAATTTATAATCCTTCTAGCTCTCGAATTTTTGTAAACATTGGATTCCGAGAATTCTCGAACATTTCAAAGCTTTACTTTCGAGCATCCTACATGTTTATCTGGTCCCCGCATAACAACGTTGGTTGGAATTCTCCAACCTTCTAAAGCTTTGCTTTTCCGGAGTTTACGAAACTTCTAAAGCTTTACTCTCGAACGTCCTGCAATGTTTTCCGCATAGCAACACCTGTCCATTGTTGCCAGCTAAGCAAGCTGCCGCGTCGATATTTCAAGCAAGCACACTACAAGACGGTGCTTATAGTTACTCAGCCAAAGTCTACAGCCATAAGCAACTCACTCAGTTAAACTCTTTCAGCGGAGCCAATGCCATCACGCACTTTCTCAAGAAGGATAACACAATTAGGTGACCACCACGTGACACTATACGAAGAAGCGTCCAGAGATTTATGACCTCACACTTTTCTCATCATCAACGTAGAACCATTATAGTGTAATTGTAAAATAAAACGTAACAAACAGCACGAAAAACGGATTTGTTGAATACCGAATAAAAACGCTACCCCTTCCACTTATCCACACTTGTCTCCCATCAGTAAACTGGTGGCCATAGTCTAATTCTAAACAAAGACTTATTATTCATTTATTACAAATCAATTTCATAATTTTATAATTTAATCAATACTTCTTAAATGCATTGATCAAATATTTGTATTCATTCATTAAATAAAACAATATATTTTAATAAATTATCGATTACAATATTAAATTAAACCAAACAACTATGCACTTGATAGATTCATTATATGGATACTATAAAAATTGTTTTAATCTTGTCAGTATTTAGCTGACAAATGATTAAATAGAAAAAAGAAAGGTATAATGAATAATCAGGTACTGTATATAATGAACATGTTCCAAGAATTAATGAAGATATTAAAGTTTTGATTAGTTTTATGAAATACGATGCCATTTATTATGACTTAATCATGTATTTCATTCCATATCTAAATTATTTATAATTAAGTTAACACGTAAATAAACATCATATATAAGTTAATAGTATTTATAAAAAAAACTACATTTAAATCGAACATATTATAGATACTTAATTAATGAAATATAAGCATTTATTCTAAACAATGTGATAATAAAAAAAAATAAACAAAGGTTGAATATATAAGACTTATAAAAGTAGCGGTATTCTTCATTGTAATTTATCAATTAAACTTATGATTTTAGGAAATGAGTGATTTTTATTATAATATTTTATGTAATATGCAATCAGAAATTTAAAGTTTTATAATCTGTATAATATTTGTTTATTTTAATTCAATTTAATTCTTTGAAATTCCAATATTTATTTTCGTAAAAAATAGGTTCAATAAATAATATATTGAATTTTTGTCAGTGCAATGAAATTTAATTATAATTTTGTTATAATTTTCTTAATTAACCTTAAAGTATATTTAAATAAAAGTGTAATAAAATTGAATAAGTAAATTTGGTAATTCATACATTTTCTTATAATAACTATAATATTTATTTAAATTTCGTGTAAGTTTTTTATCATTATAAAAATCGAATTAATTCAAGTATAATAATGATTACGAAATTATTTAAATATGTCGGACATCAAATATATTTAATTTAGAAGTTGAAAAATATAAACATATTGTTTCTTCGTTATTTGATATATAAATATGTAAACCAGTTAATGTGAATTCATTAATTCGAAGTATAAATAACTGATCTTCAATATGTAAAGTATATATATTAAATATACTTTTACAATAATTTTATTTAATTATTTTGTAAAATAATATTATTCAACTATTTATACATACAAAATATTTAATACTACTAATTTTTATTATGCTATACGATTAATTTTATAGCTTAATGAAAAGGAAAATTTTTTTTTAATTATAAATTTTTAATTACTTATTTCTAAATTGAAAATTTGAAGATGTAAATGATGATGTTTATAAAGATAGAACTTTTCTTATAAAAACGTTGTTTTCGAATAAGTAAATGAATTGACTTCATTTCATATAAATACATTTATTTCAACAAACTATATTTTATAAGTTTTATCAAATTACAAAATATTTAAAGCGTTACTAATGATATATCATCTTTTATACAATTACTCAATCTATTCTGGATAATATTAACATTAATTTTGCTAATATTTGAATATAACTATAGTAGTTATAAATAAATATCTTTTATATACATTTATTCAATTCTATATGTATTAACCCATACATATATATTTATATATATAATTGTAAATGCTTCTGTTACAAGTATTTATTTTCTTAATTTAAATAGAAAATGTATCAAACTTTTATTGATTAACATAGCGAATGTTAATTATTCACATAGCTTATACATATAATATATATAACTTTATTCAAAAAGATTCAATTTATTAGTTTTCTTAATATATCCACGCACATACTTATTCAGACATTTATATAAAAATATAATAAATTATAAACATAAGCTTTCTAAAATAATTTGTGTGATAAGAAAATACCACAGTCTTATATATAGCAAAATCGTAAACTAAACAATTTAAATATAAAGTTTCCTTGAGAAATAATGAAACATTTTATCCATTTTTAAAAATTTTGAATAGTATTTATACTAATTATAAATAATCGCAAAAATACTATTTTAATCTATTAGAATATTTTTATATTATTACAAATTACATATCACAATTATGTAACAATTATATTAAAAATTAGTAAAATAATTAATATAATTGACAAATATAGTTTTAATATTTATAATTTGTATTAGATTTTTAAATCTTTGATAATTATTTATACGAATTGGAAATTATATATTTTTATATTTATATTTTATCTACGGTGAAAAAATATTGAATTAAGTAAATAAAAATTAATGAATTATAATTATAGTTAGTAATTTAAATATATTAAAATAAATGAATTTATAACCAATTATAGTTATAGTAATTTATAGATTTGTGTAAATCATCGTTTACTTATATTTTAAAAAATAATTAATTTCAAGATCTCGAGGATTATATTAGATAAAATTTCTGGAAATAATTTTTTAACCTTATAATTAACTAATGTAATTCAATTTGCTTTTGCGAATAAATTTTGCCTAAGAAACATTATTTATTAGTTTCGAAATAGAATATAAAGTAATTGCTTAATTATATTACATGAAAATATTTTATTAAAATTATCAGATTTACAAACATTTTATTCAATGTAATATAAAATATTTTCGTTATTTCGTAAATGAATGATTATAAATTTAATTAAAAAAATTAAAATATGAGAAAAATAGTTACAAATAGTGAGTGTTTCTTTGCTTATTATATGCGTATACAAAATTAGATACTTGCTCAAGATACGATTCTAGAGGTATTAATTTTTATAAAAAATTTTGTAAAAAGTGCAAAGAAGAACCGTGTTGGCGGTTAAATGTACGACCAAACACATGCCTGTTAGTGCATAATTGAAATTATATTTTTTATGTAATTTAAATTAAGTGTATCTTATCAACAGAATTATTTAAATTCAGATAAAGTAACATCTATGTAGTTTTTGGTAAAGATCTTCAAGTGTCTACTTATTTAACGGGGATAATAATTCAACAAGCAATAGTTAATTTTCAAAATACTTTGGCTATTTTCAAAGTTTATGATATTACTACAAATCATCTCCGGCTATTAATTCTGGAACAAAATATAGCCTTATTTCTATTATTAACTCTTTGGAAATATCAATATTTTAAGTGCTGTTAAATCAATTATTTAAATTTAGTTTATTATTTAGTCATTTTCAATTTTATCTTCGTATTTTATTCGAAGGATTGCATTTCTGTATGTATTATTGAAAAGTAAGCTGAATTTAGTTTATTATTTAGTAATTTAGTAATTTTCAATTTTATCTTCGTATTTTAT